TATATATATATATATATATATATATATATATATATGTCACAACATTACTTTTTTATTTTTTTTTTGCTGCATTTTGGATCAAAGAAATGCAACCTTGGTCAGCAAAAGTATTCCAGCATTTAAAATGAAATGGAATACACTTTATTATCCCCAAGAGGAAATTTGTTTCGGGCTCAAGGTGGGTTTACAATATGTTGGATTCATAAACAATACATACAAAAGTACATAATATTCCCTACAAAACACAAGTACCTATAACATTACCAATCCTTGCATTAATTAGGTAATTCATAATAATATTACTCATAATAATTTCATTATATTGTAGCAGATGTCTTACCAGTGACCTATTACTTTTGGAGGTGTGAAATAGACTTATAGGATCTATCAAAAATGGTACATTTGATGTTTATTTGCTGTGCACTAATGCTAACGGATAGTTTTTGGCAGGTTTTTCAGAGATTAACTATGTTTATTCACTTTGTTTCAAGGGTTTTTCGTGTCTAACCTGTTTGTGTGATTGAGCTATTCATGGGAAACAAGCTCCTGTGGCTCAACATTGCAGAGAAGACCACATGCTGTTATCATCTGATGAAAATTACATTGTCAGTTAACAGCTGCATGTGCATTCGCACACATATCTAAACGTACACACACACGATGTGTGGGACAATCAATAGCGAGCACATGAGCACTGACTAACAGGAGTGATCCTGCTTCAATAATTGCAGGTTAGTCAAGGCTGATTCTCCATGCCTGTGGCGTGACGTGAAAACAGCACTTGGTTGGCCAATATATATTCAGTGAAAAGACTAATCAATGGCGATGTAAAAAGCACAATTACGTGGCAAATTGCGGCATGCATAGCGAAAGAGCCAAATTTCTCCTCCGTATCGATTCTGGTGGCTAGAATGTCAAACAAACAAGCTTGTTTTTGCTGAGAGATCTCTTTCTCAAAGCCTGCTGGACAGTTTTCAAGTAAAGAGCATACTGTTAGTCGATTGTCTCCAATTAAATACAGACAGACTGTCTGTAAGAGTATGTGGGTATCTGCAAGAGTGTGAAATATGATTTTACATGTCAGTAGTGCAAGCAAAACATTATATCCCAGAGGACGCATTTATTGCTTAGAGGTTGCTCTTTCATTGCTCAGGAGACTTAATGGATCTCCCAGTTGCTTTTTATTGAAGTATCAACTGTTTTCTCTCCTAAAATAGATGATTGTCAAATGATACTATTTCTGACAAACAGTGAGAGAGCTATAACTTTAAAGGAATAGTTCACCCAAAAATGAAAATTTATTGACAATTTACTCACACTCCGGCCACCCAAGATGTAGATGAGATTGTTTCTTCATCTGAAAAGATTTGGAGAAATGTATCATTACATCACTTGTTTACCAATGGATCCTCTGCAGTCAATGGGTGCCGTCAGAATGAGAGTACAAACAGCTGATAAAAACATCACAATAATCCACAAGTAATCCACACAACTTCAGTCCATCAGTTTACATCTTGTGAAGCGAAAAGCTGCGTGTTTGCAAGAAACAAATCAATCGTTAAGAAGTTTTAAATTTAAACCGTCGCTTCTCGCCAAAATAATCCATAATAATGCTTCCTCCAGTGAAAAAAGTTGATCTTCTGTTGTCCTCTCACATCAAAATCCACCGTCATATTTGTTTAGAACTTGTTTTGGACTGTTTTCTCTTATAAACGGTGATTGATCTGTGCATATTTCTCTCTTGGTTCAGATGAGACTACTTTTCGTCTAGAGACAACAATATTATATTATTAGAGGACTCATATTTTATCTGGAAGAAATAGTTAAAAATGTCTTAATAATGGATTTTTACTTATTACAAACAATTAGCTGATGGACTGGAGTGGTGTGGATTACTTGTGGATTATTGTGGTGTTTTTATCAGCTGTTTGGACTCTCATTCTGACGGCACCCATTCGCTGCAGAGGATCCATTGGTGATGTAATACTAAATTTCTCCAAATCTGTTCCGATGAAGAAACAAACTCATCTACATCGCGGATGGCCTGAGGGTGAGCAAATTTTCCTTGAATGTGGATGTGATTCCTGTAATGCATCCATGTGTTTGTATGAGTACTCACTGTAAGCATGCGTCTGGATGAGCTGTGGTGTGCTAGCTGGTCCATCGCCAGGTGTGGTAAAGCATAGCACTGCCGTCTCATACCACGTGAACTTTCTTAAATTGCTAACGTAACCATAGTGACGTGACCCGTGGAACTCAGGGGCAATGGTCACCATGGTAATGCATTCCGGACAGTGTTCGGGCCACACCAGCAGCTGTGAGAGAGATACGGAATAACAATAAGACATACACAAAACGTGATTAAAATACACTGCTAGGATTTAATTACGCAAATTCAAATTTATAGTTGCTGTTTTTGTCAGGCATTTAGCCAATCAATCATGCATACACACCCCAGAAGACAATAAACCTGCCAGGCAAATTTAATTGATTTTTTTTACCTCCAACAGAACATGCGTCTCTCTTTCTCTCATACACACAATCAAACACACATTCTCACATCTGTCTCTCTCTACCTTGTATCCCTGGTTGATGCCGTTGATGAACTGCTGGGGGGGTGGTGTCCAGGTGAATTTGATGGTGGTGGAGTTGAGAGCAACAGCATCCACGTCTTGTGGGGGCGCTGTAGGGACTGCAGAGTGGAAGACAATTTAGCACTGAAATATTTTGGTAATGTTCAAACATATTTTTGCAAAGTGTGCTATTAAATTTAACCTAAAAGTTCAAAATGATTTTAATTTTTAATGTGTATACCATGTGGTTTAGAATGGCACATTCATTCATTCATTCATTCATTCATTCATTCATTCGTCTGATTGTTTGTAGAACTTTATCCACAAAATAATTTATCTTAAATTGAATTTATTAAATGCATTTTAATAAACAAGTGAGTGTGTGTGAACAATTGTATTATAAAATTGTTAATAATACTAAAATAATACTATAAAATATTGCTATAATAATACTGCTATAAAATGTAAAACTAAAACTATTAGTTTTCATTTTAGAAAATCATTTTTGTTAATAGTAATAAAGCTGAAATAAAATAAGATGTAAATTTTACATGATAAATTAAAACTTAAAAACCTTTAGCAAAAATTAGAAGTGTTGTAAATAAAATAAGTTGAAGTACTAAAATTGCTTATACATTATTATACATTAATAATAATATACATTAATATGGAGTTTATTGAGGCAAAAGTCGTAGTTAATGGTTTGTTAATAGCGAGAATTGGACCTTAAAATAAAGTATGACCAAAATAAATTAAGGCTAAAAAGGAAAAAAAACTTAAGACAAAACTTAAACCAAATTTAAAATGAAGACTGAAAATATAAAAAATAAATCTTATTCAAAATATTAAGAAATACTGTAAAAGTATAAAAATAATACTAAAATAACACTGCTCGGGATTAGCCAAAGTTTACAGTGCTTAAATACTCTATAAGGCACTTAGTAGGAAGTAAACTAAATACTAATAACTAGAACTGAATATTTGGGCATTGTTTCTTTGTACTAATCTGCTTTTGGACCCGACCAAAAATAAGACAACAGTCAAAAGTCTGGCTCAGCGAGACTATATCCGTTGTGACTACCTGGATTTTGGAATTAAACGCCTTACCCAAACCCCCGTTTCCACACATACGTACTCTATTTTTCAAATTATCGTTCCCAGTGGCACCAATAATCACATACAAATACACATGAACTACAGTTTGTATTCAAAGCCTTTCTTGTAGCCTATCGGTGCTATGCAGCAGGCCTGAGCGGGAAGTGGAAAGAACGAGATCATATTTCCATAAAGACTCAAGGCCGCTTACACTTAATGTGCTTAAGATGGCCCCTTTAAGGTCAGGCCTGGCGAGTTGAGTACAGATTAGCTATCGCTCAATTGGATTGGGCACTCCGATTCGTCCTGCTGCCCTTTTCATTTCAAACACAATCACACAACGGCACAAGGTTACATTAGTGTGTCCGGAAATCTGAACTGGGACATAAAAACCGCCTCTAACCACGTGTACAAAAGCATTTGTTCCAGTCTCTACGAGAAGAAGGCTCTGCGGACACTGGGTCTCTATTAATCTCTGCAGGAGTATCATTACACTGACGTTAAATAATATGAATAATCACAGCAGAAGGATCTCAGAACACCCCCACACTTCCTTGCGTGCGCACACAAATTCACGCACATAAAGCAAATTAGATTAATTAATGGGCTACGGTCAGTGTTTGTCCAGAGTCCATAAATTTACTCTTCATAGAAATAATCTTTCAGATGGCCGATCTGTGCAGTAAAGCCGGCTAATGGATTTTACGGTTCCCATGGTTACTCTAGATCTTTTATGATATCGGTGGCTTAATGAGAAAGACGGTGTTTTGGACCCAAACCTCAAAGATTTGAAACATCAAGGGTTTGCTCCGACTGATGAGGCATTGTGTTTGTGTTTATTTCTGTGTGTGTGTGTGAGGATTGTCTAACCTCCTTGCAGCGTGTACTCAGTGACAGACTGGCTGTATACCCCCAGGCCCGCTCCAGTGTAGGCAGCCACTTGGATCTCATACTGCGTCCAGATGATGAGCTCTCCAATCAGACAATAATTAATCTCTGCACTGGTGATGTTCTTCAGCTGAAACTCACCAGGCAGACCTGCCAATCTGTACCTGAGTGGGAGGGGGAGAGAAAGAGAATCATGTGTTTTTTTTGGAAGTTGATTGTGAACCTTTAACACAAACACACTCACTCGTAATTTCAACTAGATGCATCTTTTGTAGGAAATGAAAGTGGCGCTTACCCATGCACAACTCGCAGCTACGATGCTAGAATATTGTGTTTAAAATATATAATATCAGTTTCAGCACATTGCTATATGGTTGCTAACAGAGCTGGATAGTAACTGACTACATGTAATCTGGATTACGTAATCAGATACCAAAAATTAGGTACTCGTAATTTGATTCAATTACATTTTAAAATACTCGTGATCAGAGGCGGACAGTAGTGAAGTATTTTTACTCTGCTGTAAAATAACTTTTCAAGTGTCTGTACTAGGGGTTGAACGACTTCTGATTTTTTTAAGTCGACTTTTATGTGATGAAAGTCGAGTCGAAGTCGACTAGTCGCTGATGACGTCATTAATGAACAAATAAGTCTGGAGCTGTGATAAACACCTTGTGCACAGCTATGGCATAGGACACAGCACTGCCCACATGGCTGTTGCTCCTATAACAGCACACTTTTATCAGTTATTTTGTCTTTGGGTCGTTATATTTCTCACAGATTTCTACTCGTTCTAAATCAGATACAGAAAAATCAGATGAAATGATGATCAGCGGTAGCTGAGAGCTAACTAAACTAAAGATTACATTAATATGAATGCATTAGTGAGAGCGATTGCGTGTGTGAATTAATTCTACCTGGCAGCGTCTCTCTACTAGTAGTGAAGCTGTGGAATTTAGTTATTAAGAAATATATGCTTGAACTTTTCAGTTTCTAAGCTATTTTATTGAGAAATCACAGAACAGTGTTGACAATAAATTTCCGACCTGAATGACTCTGTGCGAGTGATGTACACGCTACTGTCTGAAGCCTATGTGTGTACGTTACAGTGCAGCAGCGCATTAGATTAGAACGGCGATTAACTTACCTGTACAATAAGTTGTTTAAAACGTGCATTCTTCCGTTCAATTTCGAGCATCCAGTAATATAATCACACAGAGTATGCATTTATTTGTCATTTGAACTGTTTGGAAATGGAGCGTAAATGTGGAAGTCCTTCAAAGATTTCTTATCCTGTTTCTTATCCAAGCTTAAAGCGTCATGGCAGAGCACTGAAGTCGACTAGTCGACTAGTCGGTGCAACCCCTAGTCTGTACTTTATCAGTGTTTTTCTTTAGAAAACGTTTACTTCAAAACATTCCAAAGCATAATATTGTACTTTTTACTGCACTAAGTTTCATATTAAATATCATTTAATACTTAATCAAGTAAGAAATCTAGTACTTTCTTACTTTTACTCAAGTAAAAGTAATTCAAAGTTTTACTTGAGTACAAAAAAAATACTACATTTTTAATGTTCTTAAGTATTAAAGGTAAAAAAACAACAACTTTTATTTATGAAATATAGTGCAGTAAAAAGTATGACATTATGCTTTAGAATGTAGTCAAGTAAAAGTTTTCCAAAGAAAACCACTCTGATAAAGTACAGATACTTTTTTTATTTACTTGAGTAAAGTAAAAATACGTCACTACTGTCCATCTCTGCTCGTGATTAGACTAGTTACTTTTTTATTGATTACATGATTACATATTATTCACACAGCAGCAATAAATTATTTATAATTATTCCTTTTTTTTCATCTTTTTAATGTTCCTTTCTTAAATAGCCTACTGCTTATATACATTCAGAAAGTCTTCGGTTTTGAAGGTGGCTACATGGCATTTCACAGTTTGGCAAACCGTAACGAAATGTTTAATGCACTTCATGTTGTTAATTACAGTGAATGGAATATATTTTCTGATTCTTTGTACTTTTATATCAATACGGTACAAGATTATCCTATTTAAATCAATGTGATAAATGAGTAGGGTCAAAAGTAATCTAAAAGTAATCAAAAAGTAGTCAAAAAGTAATCAAAATGTAATGGATTACGTTACTAACTACAATTTTTATTATGTAATTTGGAATCAGTAATGGACCACAATTTGTAAGTAATCTCCCCAGCTCTGAACAAAAGTAGCTTGTCTACAATTCATTTCATCTACTACTGAATACATGTAATTTGAAAATCTGGTGGAAAAACCAGGTCATTCCATCTTAAAGGGATAGTCCACACAAAAATGACTCCGTCGAATTGATCCAAACCTGTATGCATTTCCGACTCCCAGAAATCTGTTTCTTGTTTCAGTTTTCAATTACATATAATTTATTTTTTGTCCATACAATGGACATCAATGGGAACTGAAAATGTTTGGTTACCAGCATTCTTCAAAATAGATTTTTGTGTTCCACAGAAGAAAGTAAGTTGTACACGTTTGGAATGAAATGAGGGTGAGAAAACGATGACAGAAATTTCATTTTGTGTGGACTTTCCCTTTAAAGTCGTAATGTAATGGAAGTAGCAACATCTTGTACATATGAGTGTAATGGATTAGTGAAAAAAAAAAGTAGGGCGGGGTCTACTTTTTCATTAGTTGTTAACAGTACACACAGATGAATCATTCAGAGTAAGATCAATAGCATGCATTTAGAAAATAGATGAATTTTTCTGAATGTCCATTTCATGCCGACTTTATGGGAGTTAAGGTTTTTTTGCAAATCTCTAAGAGCTTTAACCAGCTAAAAGGTAAACCTTAGCTCCAGTAGCTGGTAGTCTATCTGATCAAGTATTCAGAACAGCTTGGATGACAAGCTAGACACTATGTAAAACCATTTTTACTATGTAAAACGCTATTTAAGCCATTTTTGTATATTTCGTAAATCAAAAAAATCCATTGTCTATTATCAATAATGTAACTTTGTATGAAGCACAACTTAAACAAAAGTCACTTTCAAACCAATCAGTTTTCTGTTGGTCAACGTGGCGAATTTAAATGTCCAGCTGATGTGTAATCTTCGTGGGGAAAACTTTTGCAGGGTTCCTACTGTAAATGTACAGTGAATGCAGTAAATGTGACCATGCCTTTAAGCTGTGCTGTTGCGTTACCACTATACCAAAATGTAAAGACATTTTTATTGCATTAAAATTCAATATTGTGTACAAAAGAGTGTGTATAGAGATCTATTTTATACAAATTCTAAATTTCTGAAGCCATACATGAAAGCATACCTGAGCACATAGCCCCTCAGGACTCCATTGAGCTGTGGTTCAGGGGGCGGCTGCCATTGTACCATGATGCTCTGGTTGGTACGGCCACTAGCCACAATGTTTTTTGGAGGCGCGCTGGGTGGTTCCTCACGCAGCATTAGCCTGAGAGATAACATCATGAGAATCACATCATAAAAGAGAAATATTTAGACCCTGGAGTCTTATCTGGGAGTTTCTCCCAGAGGCATCGATAGTTACTAAAAGTTTCCTTGGGAGCTTATCCATTAGTCCTGGAGAGATTGAAATGGATCTTTCTGGTTTGTGCGAAAGGTCTTTTATAGTGCAGGAGTAACTGAGAACTGACCCTGCTGGGGTAAACAGGGTTCGCTGGAATAACCTGAACTTGACCCGGCTCTTTAAAAGTCCAAAACAACACTGGAAAAACAACTTTCTGACCAAACTGAGGAGTCATCACCAAGTACATTTTCACCTTCCGCCTGTTGAATAAACTGCTTTTCAAAAGTTTTATCATTTTTGAAATAAATGAATACTTTTATTCAACAAGGATGCATTAAATTGATCAAAAGTGATAGTAATGTTAATTGTACAAAATAAATCGATTTCAAATAAATGATGTTCTTTTGAACTTTCTTTTCATTATAAGTTCTGTTTCTTGAGCAGTTTTCTTTTTGGCTCAGTAAGAAGCTCACAAAGACGCTGAAAAAATGTATTCAAACTGAAAAAAAAAAAAAAATATATATATATATATATAATAATAATTAAAAATATTACAATTTTTTTAATCAAATAACTGCAGCCATGGTGAGCATAAGAGACTTCTTTCAAAAACATTAAACAATGTTACTGACTCCAAACCTTAGAACAGTAGTGCATGTTTGCAGTTTAATGAAAATGACTGCCTTTAAAAATGCACATTCTGCATCCGGTCACAGAAATGTACTTAATAAAGCCTAGAAAGGCTATTGTTTGGTTCCCAAATCTGGTTACAAAGAGTTAAACAGGCGAAAATGTGAACCCTTGTGGCATTTTTAGTTGACAGCCAACAATGAATATAGAGAAACCATGGCTAGTGCTGACAAACCCCTAATTCAACTCCTCTTGTTTCCTGTGATGTATATCATTTTTTTACCAAACCAAACGGGAACAAATAAAGCATTAAAATGTAAACAAGTGAGCATTTCAGTATTTCAGCACATACCATATCCAAACAATATCAAAAATGATACATCAGCAATTCAATGCTAAATCTGTTAGTTTGACCTCATTAGTGTAAATCAATGAACTCTTTAATTTCTCAGTTAGATCAATACCATAGGCTTTAGCTCTCTAAGTCTGTCTGCAGGATTCTGGAGACTGTAGATCCCTAGAGCAGGCGATAAACAATCCTTCGCTCTAATCTGCGGTTTAAAGGTTATTAGCTTGATTAAGTGAGCAAGGCCTAAAGTGCCTCAAGCAAGCAATCTCGTAGGAAAGTTGCTAAGTCTGATTGATGTTTTGTCAAATAAACAATAATCATACTAAACCAATTTAAAAGGCTTAGAAGCAGTTATTTTAGTCTATCACTTTGTTTCTTTTGGGGTGGGTTGGGGTTGGATTGGGTATTGAGGAGATTTCTATTGTATTGTTTTTGTCATTACTGTGCATGGCATTAATTGTTGTTTATAAATTAAATGCAAATAAAAATGCTAAGTGCTGAGTGGCGCATTGAGTTTGCTTTTGTTAAATTCAACACAAATCATAATCATACTAAACCAATTTAAAAGGCTTAGAAGCAGTTATTTTAGTCTATCACTTTGTTTCTTTTGGGGTGGGTTGGGGTTGGATTGGGTATTGAGGAGATTTCTATTGTATTGTTTTTGTCATTACTGTGCATGGCATTAATTGTGGTTTATAAATTAAATTAAAATGCTAAGTGCTGAGTGGCTCATTGAGTTTGCTTTTGTTAAATTCAACACAAATCAGTAAAAAAGTTAAGTTTGACATTGACATTGTTTGCGGTGTGCCAATTATGGACATACTTCTAGACATGAAACAGTCCTGATTGGAGCACATATTGTGTGCGTAATTATACTCTTCCTTTGATGGTACTTTGCCAAAAAAATGAATAAGAAGAATAAAAGAAATAGAGATTTAAATTTTTCATATAACTGATGATGATCCTGACATTAATTGGAAACGAGGCCAAAGCAGATAGGTGCTCAAATTTTAATAAGTGCCCTCTCCATCAATATTTGATTTTTTGTGTTTCTGTTCGTCTTCATCTTCTCCGTCTCACTCTCCACAGTCTTTTCCTCTTGTTTTAACTGAGTGTTTTAAATTAAACATTCAGTTTGAAAGATACGTGGTTATACACATAAAGCTGGTGATTTTAATTGCATTTAAACACTACTTTTGAATCAGCTAAAATATGTAAAACACATACAGGACATTTTGTTTTTGTAAATTAAAACTGAGTTTTGTCTGCTAAGTTAAAAGTAAAATAACAATGAAATTGGTTGTTTTTATACCAGACATGGGTCCAAAATTCTGTTTTAGACATCAGGACTAAGAGTAAATACGTTGAGAAAATTAATGGTCCCACTTTATGTCAGGTGGATGTAACTACTATACTTACATCAAAAAATAAGTTCAATGTATTTATTGTGTTCATATTGTATTGTAAAACACTTTTGCTGCTATTGAGGTGGGATGTGGGTATAAGGTTAGGGACAGGTTTGGTGGTATGGGTAGGTTTAAGGGTGGGTTAAGGTGTAAGGGATGGGTCAACTGTGTAATTATAAATGTAATTACAGAAATTAATTACAGATATAATTTCATGCATATATTTTTTTAATTATAAGCACAATGTAAAAAAAATGTATGTACACAATAAGTGCATTGTATAAAATTATTAATTTAAATGTAAGTACAGTAGTTAAGACCACCTAATGTAAAGCAGGACTAATTACATTGTACAATACCTGTTTTTTCATGAGGTCAGTTAAGCTGTTAGCAAGCTCACATTAGTTATTGTACTGTCTTCTTTGACAGAGTTTCTATAATTGCACCAGTAAGTTTGCTTAATGGATTCTGCATGTTGCAAATCTGTTTAAAATGTTGTTAACAAGCCCAGACATGGTTTACTTACTTGCTGAGATATTGCATATTACGCTGATGTCAATAGTACAGTTACAGATAAATCAGTGCACATTGCATCCATCCAAAAGAACAAAATAAAGTGTGTGAACAAGAATGAACAAGAACGAATACAGTCAACAGCTCTCACTGCGTGACAACTGATAAAATGTCAAAGTTGAGCCTAAAGTACTGTAATTATGGCTGACAATTAATACAATTTGATAAACTGACTGATTACATAAAATGCTGACTAAATAATCAAATCACACTTATCACACAATCATATATAGAGACTCTCCAGTCTGCAGTTTCACATGATCCTTCAGAAATATATATATATATATATATATATATATATATGTATATGTTTCCAATTCAGCACCAATTAAACCTGAGCAGCTGAGCATTTCACAAAGTCATTATGAGAGAAAAGGGAGTCTCTGACTCAACTGGTACTATTGAATATAAACTGGCAATGTTGGTTTAATAGAGACTTGCTTCAAATAAAAGCTAAGCTGAGAACTAGGAAACAGCATGACAAGCTTTTTTAACATGTCCTTGATGATTGAGCAGGCCCTTCTTCCTGCCGTTTAGCAAAGAGTGCTTGGCATGTGCATTAGCTTTATGCCTGTGGCTTGAAAAATAGCCATTTGAACTTTTTGAAAGTTCTTTAAGCGATTTGATTCGATTTGGAATGCAGTCATTGTGATGTGTGCCAATTTATGAGCGAATAAAAATTCACAAAACAAAATAGAGAGCACAAAATGCAGTAGCCTCTGCATGTGCTAAAGTGTCCTTCCCTCCAGCCAAGTTTCTATTTGACATTCTTTCACCGTGTGGAATTGGCTTTGAGAAATGCTATTTCTCACACCTTCATAGTGTTCCTGGATATGGGTTTTTTTTTCTGCCCGTGTCATAATGGCTCACAATCAGAGCCAGTGATGAAAGCTCTCATGTAATTCAATTACAATCAGCCTTTCTTTTGATAGGGTTCAAATCTTGTCCTCACATATAATAACATTCTCTCTAACTGATTGAGGTTGTGTGTGTGTGTGTTGAACACACAAAAATGGCAAGAGTTGGCGAAAATTACCAGTTCCAATCTGTTTGACTGGCTATGTAACTTACTACAGTCAAAATTCAAAGGACTTTGAGTTTGTTGGAAACAAAGTTTAGCTTGTTAGCATGGCCAAGTTACTGTAACATCTGCAGTTCCATGACATTGTCAGACAAGGTCTGTTTCCCTTCCTCAATGCCTGATCAAAATCATTTATCGTGATATCTTGTTCTAGCTTATCAATAAAGCTTTTCTTAAACATTTTCCAATATGCTAAGCTAGTAGGCTATGATGCCTGTGACTGTTTACCTGTTGGTCTCAGTGCTGTACTGTCCACGTCCCACCTGATTGACAGCACACACTCTGAACTGGTACGTTCTTGCTGGCGTTAGACCAATTACTAGCAAACTAGTTAGTGCTGGACTAACATCATCCATGTAGACCTTCCATGGAGAATCTGTCAAGAACAACAATCAGACAAAACTAAGTTTCTTAACATCTTAACATACTATTGAACAGGTCACATACCATACAGTACATTACAATGTTCATATGGAAAATAATGCATGAAAAATAACGTAATGCATTGCAATATTGCGTTACTTACTACATGAAAAAGCAACTAATTGCATTACGTAGTTACTTTTAATGGAAACTAATGCATTATTTTACTTTTGTGTTACTTTTTGTCATCTGGGCTGGGCTTGCTTATTTGTTTTTTAATAACAAAAAACCCAAAAGTTATATTTTTGGCAACTGTAAGGGTATTTTCACACCAAAAATGAAACGAATAAGCCTCAGCCTGAAAGAAGTGCCTCTGCCTATGCACCTGTCACGGAATCGGGTGTGTGGAGGCAGGCAGGACGACGAGGACTACAAGGATTCCAATAATGACATTTATTGTAGACACAACAAGGCAGGTTCAGGTAGGTGATACACCACTCGGGGTAAC